AAAATTGACCTAAATTTAAATGTTTATGCATGTGGTTTAAATAAAAATGATATCCCTCTAATAATTGATAATTTTCAAATGCATAACATTTTAAAAAAACTTTATGCATATGATCTTAAATTCAACAATTGGTATTACATAAAGTATTTTAGTCTTGGATATATTGAATTTCATATGCTACTAACATGTTTGTTATTCTTTGTTGAAATTCAATTTTATTTAAGTGTCAAGATCCTAAAAGAAAAATTTATTTGGAATGCATTTATTGAGGGGGAGATTTGATTTTTTTTCAAATGATTTTTAAAATGTCAAATTTACTACTTACTCTCCAAAGTTATTTTGAACTTCAATTATTAGAGTCTTTTTTATTTAACAAAAAGGGGGAGAAGTGTGAAGGTGTTAAAGTGGAGAAGTGTTAAAGTAAGGGGGAGTAATTTCAAACTTGATTTCAAAATCTTAAAATTACTCAAATGTTTTGTTATATCAAAAAGGGGGAGATTGTTGAAAACATTTTGATGTTTCGATATAACAAATTAATTTAAATGAATTTTAAGATTTTACAAAAGATTTTCTAAGTATATTCGATGTAATTATTCGAATATCAAAATATTACTCCAAGTCTTTCAAAGTTCATTTTAATCCTTACTAAAGTGTAAAATTGTGTTTTATACTTAAACTATTTTAAAACAATTTTACAAAGTATTTCGAGCCTTAATCGAGCCAAAAATATTTTCTTTTTAAAGGGTTTCAAGAAAAATCAGATTGTCCAGGGGGAACAGATTCCCCCCCAGAGGGTATCGATTCCCCGGGAACAGATTCCCCCAGGGGTATCGATTCCCCGGGTACAGATTCCCCCTGCATGGTTTGGCTCCGAGAAATAACAGATTACTCGGAGGGAACCGATTCCCCCTTGAGGGTACCGATTCCCTCACTGTTCATCAGCCCAACGGTCATAATATTTGAATATTATGAAGGTGTATCGATTCCCTATGAAGGGGTACCGATTCCCCCCATTCTGGGCAGCCTATTTTTGCAGAAAAATCATTCCCAAACGGCTCCAAAACATCCCCAACAGCTAGATATGACTTCAAACACATTCCAAGCTATAAATACAAGCTAAAGACACTTGAAGAAGTAATAGAACAACTATCCAAGCAATCAAACACAAGAGAAGAATTTTTCATTCTTATTTCATTTTTCTCTTGTATATATTTTGTTCTTGTGAGCTCAATCTTGTAAACACCTACCTTAGAGAGGTTTTTTTGTTTACATTTCTTATCCTTTTGTAAAGGGGAAAGGTTCTAGCTTAGCCGTGTAAAAGCTAGGGAAAGGTTCTAGTTTAGCCCGGAAAAACTAGGGAGTTTGTAAGGTTACTCTTTATCCTCAAAAGAAAGAACAAATTAGTGAATTTGTTGGAAAATCCTTGGTGAGGAGCTAAGATAGTGGACGTAGACTTTGATTGAGAAAGTTGAACCACTATAAATCGCTGTGCAATTCTCTATTTTTCAATCTCCTTACTCCCTAAACACAAAACCGTTCCGACCCCTCTTTGCAAACCGTTCCCGTTGTCGATTCGAGCTTCCGAAAATCCTAACACATTTCAATTCCCAAACAACAATTTCCAGAATATTACATCAACTATTGAATAATTATAAAACAACCCACAATTTTTCCAAAAATTATTGATTTGGTCCCCAACTTTTTGAAAATTACCAAATGGTCCCCAATATTTTCTAAGGCTTGTAGAATACTTCCTACATCATTTCCCGCCCTTACATAATTTTCCAATTTTTTTTTATTTAAGCCAAGGTCGAATACTTCAAAAGTTCAAGGCTAGGGTTTTTCATGATTTTACTCAATTTTGATTCGATTCGAGCATAAAATCAACCTCGATCCAACGTTATAAAATATCTACAATCAAATCCCTAATTAAATTTCATCAAAACACAAAGATCCCCTAACTTTAATGTTTGGCCGAAACTTAAGGAAGCATTTCTAGGAGGATTGAACATATTTTAATCATCAAACAAGCTTGGAAATGAATCTAAAACCCTCATATAAACATAAACCCTAGAATTTGGTATCTTTGAAATCAAACAAGATTAGAAAGCATAAATGGTACCAAAAGATAGCGTTTTTCGCGTAAAACACTTTTCTATTTCACGACATGATCCAAAATCCAAAGGAAATTGATTAAAAATTGAAAAAAAAGATTCTCTTACTTATAAAGAGGGTTCACAACTTGGAGAGAAATATGATCAAAGTTTACATGATATTTTAGATTAATTTCATGCTAATTTATCCTTAATTTAAGCTTAAATGAATATTATATTCATTTAATTGGGGAAAAAATCAATTTACCCTTAATGAAACTTCATATTTACCATTAAACCAAGCCACATAAACCTTATCATCTTCCAAAAGTCAAAGATGAACAAAATATTTCACCATTTACCATTTTGTCCATGCAACTTTTCAAAAATTACAATCTTGCCACTTTAATCCAACTGTACAACTTTAATATGAAATTAAATCCTCAAATCTAATGGTTTATATTATTTTCCAACATTTTAAAATGTGAAAAATAATATTTTCAAGCCTAATTTAGCATCCTTCAGATTTTCTCAAAATTTCTGTTCGATCCAATTTACCGAATTTTTATCAAACTTTAACAATTTATAATTTTTAACATAAATCCCGGATCAAGAATATGATTTCAATAAAACCACACTCTCAAAAGTAAACTATCTATTTATGAAATAAAAATTATTTTTGAAAATTACCATTTAGGTCCCTAAAAGTTTCCCACTTTTATACTTTAACCATTAAACTTTCAAAACTTACATTTTGATCGCTAACCCAAATTTGGGGTTTTACACTAATAATTTTATATTAACTAAATTAATTTTATATATAGAGACATAAACATAATATTTTTTATCAATATGTGGTAAATACAATGTAGTATCCGTTAAAAAATAACTCTCTTAACCATGGAGATTAAATGCTCACACCCCTGACATTCTTGGTGCTCAAACCCGAGACTTCAAGGAATAACAATAATCATTTTACCATTTAGGTAATTTGGTTTGTGCACATCATCATAATTAAATATTGAGAAATGAATATACTTTTTTTATTAACTTTTATTTGGGTAAGCTACATATTTAATACTCCAACTGTGGCGGAACTTGGTGATAGAGTTTGAGGAGTCAACTTAAAATTTTAAAAAAATTAAAGATTTAATCTAAAATATTTAAATTTTTTGAAGAGCTCAATTTACGTTTTTTCACAAAAAGAGGGAGGTTTAACTAAAATTTTTGAAAATTGGGTGAATTAATGAGAATTTTTAAAAATTATGGAAGGGGTCATTTAATTTTTTTTAAATCTTAATATGAATTTCTAATTATTTTATGGGGGCCAAATTTTTTTTTGAAAATTTTAAGGTTTTAAAATTAAAATTTTCAAAAATTTGGTAGGCCATGGCCCCCACATGTCCCCACTATATTCCGACGTTGTACCCCAACTATTATTTTTATTTCGTTTTAGTCATCTAACTATTTTTATTTTAAAATCATACTTGGTTTTATTTTGATCACCCACTGCAAAAAATTAAAAATGATGTTGGCATGTTATCATAAGATAATGCCACATCATCATTGAAAATTTTTAAAAAATACGCCAACATTTCTGGTACTTTTTAACAACAAATGACCAAAATGAAACCAAAACATAATATTGAGGATGATTTTGAAATAAAAAAATAGTTGTATGACCAAAATAAAATGAAATTAATAGTTGGAGTAGTAAACATGTACTTTACTCTAAAAATTTGAAATTAGTGTACTAGACTTCAAATATACCTTTGGGAAAATAAAATCAAAGTATATCCAATCAAAGCTTGGCATTCATCAAACACTGATTGGCTAAGAAAGAAATTCATTAAAAAATAAAGAAAAAGGGAATAGACAACGATAGTCTTTTCCATATTATGCCATAAAAGAAATTATTAAATAATAACGTAAACGACATATTTAGTCATTAAATTATTATTTTAATTTTATTTTAATCACCTAACTATTTTTTAAATCATACTTAAAGTTACATTTTAATTTCGTTTTGGTCATTTATCGTTAAAATTTAATAGTTATGTTGACAAGCCATCATAAGATAACTAAATAATGTTTTGACGGTATATGACCAAAATAAAACTAAAATAATAATTAAGTGACTAAATATATAGTTTATCTTAAATTATAATATAATTAAACCATAAAAATATAATATTTAAACTACGATGTCAATTTTATGTTTGTTTACTTTTTGACGTTAGGTGACCAAAACGAAGTCAAAATAATAATTAAGATATTAAGTATGGAATTTACCTTAAATTATGATATAATTAAACCATATAAATATAATATTTAAATTAATATTTTTTTGATTAAATATTTAAATTAATATTATATTGAAGATAATGAATTTTAAAAATTAAACGTGGATTGTATTTAAATTACGATGTCAATTTTCTGTTTATTTTTTGACGATAGGTGACCAAAATGAATTCAAAATAATAATTAAGAGATTAAATATGGCATTTACCTTAAATTACGATATAATTAAACCATATAAATATAATATTTAAATTAATATTTTTTGATTAAATATTTAAATTAATAATATATTGAAATAATGAATTTTAAAAATTAAACGTGGACACTGTCTGCAGTCCTTCGAATGAAGAGGATGGTTCAATATATCGTCTAAGTTCTCTTCATGCAAGTCCCCATCTTTGTCAGTCTATCCTTTTTCCAATTCTTCCCACCTTCTTCCAAGTACCAAAGGCCAAAACATTACATATTTACATACCTCCACTTTCCTTATAAAACCAAAAACCTCTTTTCTCTTTCATTTCCACTACAAGAAAAACTCCCTTTTTTTAAAATTTTAATTTGGTTTTGGTTTTGGGGTTCTTCCCTTTGTTGCTTTTGTTTGAAGTTTGCAACAAAACTGAAAGAATATATTAATTTTTAAGAAGAAAAAGAAAGCAGGCTGCTTGCTATATAAAGGAGGCTTTTTGGAATTGTTTTTTTTTTACTTCTTTGGTTTTGGTTCTGTGAACCTGTCCAATTTATCAACTTTGGGTGGTTCAAATTGGAATGTGAAATGCTTTGAGCTTTGGAGTCTCATCAAAGTGCTTCTTTTTGCTTTGCTTTGATTGCGTAAGCCATTCGTTTTGCTTTCCACTAATGCGTTGGAAAACTCTGAAGATCTGAAGGTGGCTCCTTTTGATGGCTTCTTCTGGTTTAAGGTGAGCTCTAATTTGATTTTTATATTTCTGGGGTTTGTTTCGTTCTTGGCTTTGAGGTTGCATTTCTGGGTTTTCAGGAGAAAAAATGGGTTGGTTTCTGTTTCTACATATCTGTTCTTAAATTCTTGGTTATATTGTAATTAAGATGTTTGGGATTTCATCATTTAAACTATAGAGATTACTGTGTATTTCGTTGTCCTGTTCCTTTGTTACAGTGGTGTTTGATGATTCTTATGGTATAAAAACTAATAAAAAAATATGAAATTTGTGTTGAGAAACGGATAAAGTTTTGGATCAAGTGATTTTGACTTTGTTTATGAATTTTTGTGACCTAATTCTGGGATGTTTAGTGTGTTAGATCCGTAATTCAATGCTATTAAATATCATATTTTGGTGTGCTTTGATTGATTTTTCCATTACAGGTTATGTGATAATTGAAGCTTGTAATTATAGATGATTAAAGTGTAGCAGTTCATTTGGATGCAATGTTAAAAGCATTAGTTCCAGGGCTGTTGGTTTCTTGCTTGTTGGTTTCGGTATCGTGTGCCGATAATGGCTTTTCGAGGTGTAGTTGTGACGACGAGGGTAGTTTTTGGAGCATCGGGAGCATATTAGAGACTCAGAGAGCGAGTGATTTCTTGATTGCCATCGCGTATTTCTCGATCCCGATCGAGCTGCTTTACTTCGTTAGCTGCTCGAACGTGCCGTTCAAATGGGTGCTCTTTCAGTTCATCGCCTTCATCGTGCTATGCGGACTGACCCATCTGCTCAACGGATGGAGCTATGGCCCTCATTCGTTTCAACTCATGTTGGCTCTCACCGTGTTCAAGATCCTCACTGCTTTGGTCTCAAGTGCCACTGCTATTTCGCTTCTCACGCTGATTCCGCTGCTTCTCAAAGTCAAGGTAAGGGAATTATTGCTGAAGAAAAAGGCTTGGGACCTTGGTCAGGAAGTCGGTATTATAATGAAGCAGAGGGAGACTGGTTTGTACGTCCGCATGCTTACTCAAGAAATTCGTAAATCGTTGGATAGGCACAACATTTTGTACACAACGATGGTAGAGTTGTCCAAGACGCTGCGTTTGCAAAACTGTGCCGTTTGGATGCCCAACGAGATCAAGACCGAGATGAATCTGACTCATGAACTCAAAGGAAGGAACTTTTCGTATCATTTTACCATTCCAATCACTGATCCGGATGTGGCATGGATTAAAAGAACTGATGGAGTGCATATCCTCAAGCCAGATTCGCCGCTTTCTACTTTAACATATGGAGAGCATGGTGAGCCAGGGCCAGTAGCTGCAATACGGTTGCCGATGCTTCGTATATGCAATTTTAAAGGGGGGACTCCCGAGCAAGTTCAGACGTACTATTCCATACTGGTATGTGTTCTTCCGAGTGAACAACAAAGATCATGGAGCAACCAGGAATTGGAGATAGTTAAGGTGGTCGCTGATCAGGTTGCCGTTGCAATCTCTCATGCTGCAGTTCTTGAAGAGTCCCAACTCATGAGGGAGAAACTGGCCGAGCAAAATCGCGCATTACAACTTTCAAGAGAGAATGCTATGAGGGCAAGCCAAGCTAGAAATGCATTTCAGAAGGTAATGAGTGACGGAATGAAGAGGCCTATGCACTCAATCTTAGGCTTGCTTTCGATGATGCAGGATGGAAATTTAAATAACAATCAGCAGATTATTGTTGATTCGATGATGAAGACCAGCAATGTCCTGTTGACCTTGATAAACGATGCGATGGATATTTCAACAATGGATGGTGGAAGATCCAAACTGGAGAAGAGATCTTTCCGATTACAATCGATGATAAAAGAAGCAGCTTGCCTTGCCAAGTGCTTGAGCGTTTATCAGGGTTTCAGTTTCATGATCGAGGTCGAGAAGTCTTTGCCTTGCTTTGTTTTCGGTGATGAACGAAGAGTTTTTCAGGTTATAGTGTATATGGTAGGGAGCCTATTGGATGGAAATACTGGAGGGGGGACTGTAATACTTCGGGTGTTCACGGAGAATGGTAGTTGGGAATGGGATGATCAGAGACGAGCAGCCTGGAGGCACTACGCTTCTGATGCAGATGTACTTATCAGGTTTGAAATTTTGGTTTCCAATAAAATCTCTCAATCAGAAGGCTGCTCAATGTCGGAGCTACCGAGCAGTAGAAGCAGATGCAACGGCCGTGGTGCTGAGGAACGCTTGAGCTTCAGTGTTTGCCAAAAGCTAGTGCAGGTAAGAATACTAAATTTTCATCTCATGTGTAGCTGATGATAGGACATGGATCCGGTTCACAGTTTATAGATTCCGCGGCCGATTATTGCAAACTTAAAAATTTACTTGTGAGACAGTGAATGATGCTATGCGAAAACTAGAATGATCTTTCGTTTTCTTTTCGATGTTTCATGCTACTGCTACTGCTACTGCTTTTTAGATTATTTTCTGATGATCTGAATAAAATTTGCAGCTGATGCATGGGAACATCTGGGTAGTCGAAGATCCTTTAGGTTCTGCTCAAAGCATGGCACTTGTTATGAGGTTTCAAATCCGACCATCCATCAGTACAATCACCGAGTCCGGAGAATCCTCAGAGCAGCCAAGCTCCAACTCTGATTTCAGGGACTTGCATGTTTTACTGGCTGATGACGATAATGTGAACCGTGCTGTGACTGGAAAGCTTCTTGAGAATTTGGGATGCACTGTTTCTGTTGCGTCTTCCGGATCCGAATGCTTGAGTGCTATCGGGTCAACCGCATCTACATTCCAAATTGTCATTTTGGAGCTTCAGATGCCCGATTTGGATGGATTCGAAGTCGCGACAAGAATCCGTAAGTTCCGAAGCCGGAGTAGGCCGTTGATTGTTGCCATGACTGCAAGTATGGATCAAGAAATTTGGGAGAAATGTTTGCAGACCGGAATGAACGGTGTTATTCAAAAACCGGTGCTATTACATGAAATCTCCGTGGAGCTTCGAAAAATCCTGATTCAGGCCAACAGGGTTGCGTGACGATAACATCACCGACTCCTTCACCTCGCCATCAAGCTGGTACCTGATGTCCACTCCTTAACCTTTTCCTTTCGTTTAAGCGACTTCACTTGCATAGATTGTTTTTGATCTAATCAAAATAGATTACCAGAATTCTCTTCAACGCATCATCACTCTAATAAACACTGGGTTACATGCACGGTGCAAAGCTAGAAAAGACTTTCGCAGTACAGTCGGGATTCGGGAACGAATCGCGAGCTCTCTAGTATGGACGCAACTAGGACCATTGTAAAGTCTGTTCTTTGCCCCTGAAAGTATAGTTGCATGAACAGACTGAAAGTATACTTGTAAAGTCGGTATTCGCCGATGCAATAAGTCGGCATTCGACTGCCGGGAAAAAAGGAAATACTCGAACCGCAATCGAATGACGGAAACATGCGAGTGTTTAGTTATGCTTATGCAAGGAGGATGGCTAAAAGTCATTCGCCTTGCACCTCACACATCAGCCAGCCATATTAGAAAAAGAGAAACCAGCAAATAAGTTTCTTGCCGAAAACGTATTAACCATGACATGAAACGTTGTTTCTGAAGAACTTGGACTAAAAAGAAAATGGAAGCTCAAATTGACAATGTTGTAATACTTGGACCGAAGTCGATTCGATTATCCTTTCGGTTCTCGATTCAAGCCTTAAACCGATCGATCTGGTCTGATTCCGACGACAGTCGAAGCAGATAAAAATTAATTAATTCATGAGCCATCTTAAATAAGTTTTTTTTAGAGATGGATCATGGTTGCGTGGGAAGGTTGGAAAAGGATCATTGTTTTTGGTCCAATAGGGCAAATGGGTAAATTATTTGGGGATATAGGGCAAATAGAAGTTTATTTTGGGATATACGGCATTTTATACAGTGTTCGTGAAACTTATCACATTTTTATTAAAATTTATTATATCGAGATAAAAAGTTTGAATGAAAAATATTTATCATATCGAGATAAAATTTATCATAGGCACAATAATTTTTTAATTAAAATTTATCATATCGAGATAAAAAGTTTGAATGAAAAATATTTTTTATTAAAATTCGTCACTTCGACTAGGGCTGTAAATGAAACGAGACAGATCATGAGCTACTCGAGATCGACTCGGTCAAGACTCGATAAATACTCGGATCGAATGGACTCGACTCGAACTCGAGCTCGACTCGAATTCTTAACGAGCTACTTGATACTCGACCCGAAAAGCTCGTGAGCAGTTCGAAAATATAATATATTAAGATTTTATTTTTTAAAAAATAAATTATTAATAATATTAACATTTATGTGTTAATTTAAAAAAATACAGTAAGACTTTCATGTATTTAAGGTTCACGTTCGAGTTTGCGGATTCAATCTTGTTAAGTTTAAGAATTTTATTTTTCATTTCGAGCTGCTCACGAGCTTCAGTTGAAGATTTTGAGTTCGAGTCGAGCTTAAAAATTTTAAGCTCGCGATTTTTCGAGTCGAGTCAAGCTCAATTTCAGAGTTTTCGAGTCGAGTCAAGCTCATCAATACTCGAACTCGACTCGGCTCATTTATACCCTTAACTTCAACGTGACGAGTTTCATGCACAGTAAAAAATGTTGTAGATCCTAAAACAAAAGTATTTGTGCCCTATTTTACATATTTTCTTTCAGGTTGCCCTATTGGGCCAAAAAAAGCCTACTTTTAGGGGCCACGGGCAATGCCTAAAAGAGAATTAATTTTGTATTTGAATTTGTCATGTTAACTCTGCATTCGAGGATTTAGGTCATCTCTAGCCTTTATCTCTACTCTACAACATCTCTATCTATATTCTAAAGATGAAACAGTAATTCATCTCCAGCACTATTTCTATATTACTACCAACTCTACTTTATTCATAATATTTTAACTATTATAATATTAATTTTGCAAATATAAAATAAAACATATACATTTCTAATAAATATCAAGATAAAAAGCATAAATAAAACATTCATAAATAACAAAAAATTGGTTAAAATGCTGTTTGAGTTTTATTAGTATTTTCTATGTTTTTATGTTTGTTGTAGTTTTTATGTTTCAAAAAATTTGTATGTTTATTTATATAATTTCAATATTTTTTTATCTATCTTGCAATTTAATATACTTAAATTTATTATATTATGTTTACTTTTTATTTTATTGTGTAGAAATTACAAAAACCAAAAATTAAAAAAAAAAATTGTAGCGCAGCTACAGTTTAACACTATATGTAGCTTGTCACTGTAGTTGTAGTTAAATTATCTCCAAAGTGGAGATAAGCTGGAGATCTCCAATGCGGAGATAAAGCTACTCCAGCGATGGGCTGGAGATGCCCTTAGAGAGTGTTGAAAATATATTTGTATTTTTTAAAATTTTATTTTTTTATGGTTTAAGTATTTTTATTGATAATTTAATTTCATATTCTCTGAAATTTTATAATTTCACATCCCCTAAATATTTAATATAAGTTTCTAAGTTCGAACCTCATGACATAAAATCTTGCGTTCGTCTCTCTTCAAACCTTTGCCGCTGACTTAGTTTCACGATTGCCTCTAGAGTTTGTTGGAAAATAATAATTTTAATCGAATAAAATTGATGTTATTTATAATAAATCATATCACTCGGTGAGTATATTTATTAAAATAAATAGTGTCATTTGATGAATAGGCTTATTTTTTTGTTTAAAATTATATTATTCAATTATGCCTATTAACTTTTCAACAAATATTTTCATCAGAAGTTCATAACCTTTTGATTCATTTCCTCTCCACTATAAACAAGTTTAAGTTTAGACACATTTAGACACGAGTCAAAAGTTACAAGTTTAGAACTTTGAAATTCCTTCCAATTAGTTTTTTTCGATGATAGAGAAATGTAAGATTGTGTTTAACTGATCATTGAAGTTGTGTTTATTGTTATGACCGTTTGTTGTATTTTGAGAGACCAATGTCGAACGTTACTCAAAGTACCAAGGGGAGAACAATATATCTTAAGGAAACTGTTTATACACGACTCAACAAAAATTTACTCTTATGTTTATCTGACTCCACTCATCCAATTTCATGTTTACGTAAACAAATTTTATACCTCTACTTTAATTCTTTATTTATTTTACTTCGTTAGGTTTATATAATAATATGTGTTTATTATTATTATTTTATTTCTTGGATTAATATTTTATCCAACATAGCTTTGCAGAGTAGTTTGAATCAGATAATGTTAGGTGACATAAGAAGGGCTTCTGTCTTTCATCGTGTCGTAAATAATCTCTTTTTTATGCTCGTCGGCGGTTGCCTTTTTTAATTATGTTCGAGTCTATCTAAATTTTAACGAGTTATTTTTTTGATTAATTTATTGCTAATAAAAATCAAATAAATTTAAAAACGAATTATCCTTTCTATGATCCAATTAAAAAGACTGAATTATATCGACGAGGTTGATTCAAATGATAAACAGTTTGATATTGTTTAAGCAAAGTCTTATGTTCGAGTTCTTGTATATTCAGAAAACTCTACTAAAAGACTCACAAACCAAAACTAAATATACGACACGAATCGATTCGGATTAATGAGAGCAAAATCTTAAAATTGGGATAGAAAAAACACAATTACGTGTTACGTTCCCAAAATGGAATATGTCGTGTATTAGAGACAAGATAAAGACATGATCAGTGTTCATTAACTTGAAAGAATCGGGTCTTTGTCGAGGCTTCGTCATTTAACCACTTGTTTTCCCAAGTTGATTGATTAAGAAGGGACGACTATTATTTACCAAAACAAGGTGACAAGTATGTGGTGCTTTTGACCACTTTCTAGCCGTTCATTTTATTTGCTAATATTTTATATAATAATATAACAGATAAATTCAGACATAATATAATTATATTATATTAATTATAATATAAAAACAATTATTTATATAGATAAAATGTTTTAAAATCTTATGGAAAAAAAAGTTAGAAAATGAAACAAAATATAGATATATAATTAAAAATGCCCAAAACTAAGCACTAGTGGTCTAGTGGTAGAATAGTACCCTGCCATGGTATAGACCTGGATTAAGTTCTTGTAGCTTCTTATTTTCCACCCACTTTTTGACAAACTTTTACTTTTGTCTCGTAGGAAATTTATATATATATATATATATATTTTAAAAATAATCAAAATATTTCATTTATTGAAAATCGTACCAACTAACGTCTTGTTAATTACATGCTGAACAAATACAATTAAGATTATAAAAAATAAAATATAACAATGATCGTTTAGTGATAGTCTAATAAACAAAACCATTAATAAATAGAGTAACGACATACATAAACTGAACACACCAAAAACTTTGAGCATCAAAACATGGAGGAGAGAAATTTGAAGAAGAACCAAAACGGACAACGAAAAAAGTGATATCTCTTTAACAACAATTTCATCCGACACATATATGCGATAAACAACGATCCGTCTTGTACAAATGAACAAAGGAATCAGGCATTGGGAAAGCAACCAACCATGTATTCAGTGAAAAACAAAAGACCAAGAAGAAAACCAATAAAAAAACCTGCATCGAGAGTCTAAAACACGGGTAGTCGTAATATCCTTTATCAGAAAAAGGTCAAAAGAAAATTATTATTGAAAATACGATAAAAAGAACTAAAATGACATGGTGGTGGCCGGAAACCACCACCGCTTTCATGAAACAAAGAAATTTTAAAAGCTGCCTAGTAAACTATGTAACTTCCGCGGATCACTTTGTTGAAGGTGGGCTAATGCTAACTTAAATAATTATAATTACAGTAAATATATTAATATGGGATGGTACAATCAGATTTTTGAAATATAAATAATTTCACTACACATAATACAACTTTAATTCATGCATACTTATATAATATAATACGAGGAGACCAAGGTGCTTCGAACGGTAAGGTTTAGACTTGAACAGCGGTCGGTGACGGTGGCTGGTGTGGTGATCTCCGGTGAATGGGGGCGGCGGCAAAGCTTCCTTGTTTTATTGCAGAGCACACGGGTGAAGAAAGGAGAAAGAAATAAATGAGAGAAGTGAAAAATGGGCTTAAGAAAGAGTATTAATATCCTAGGCAAAACTGCCTAGTTTGGGGAGCTTGATATGAGGAAAGGGTTATTTTCAGCCTTAGTCCTTCGAGTAAGGAAAATTATTTTGGATCTGAGTTCGTATAATCGATGGTCTAGGTTCATGAGGAAAAGATTTGGAAGCTCGACCTAGTACCTCTTGTTCCATTCGT